TATCCTCCTCAAAGAATGTCTAAGGTCCATACAAATTAAGGCATGGCTAAACAGCTGGTGGAGAAATTTCTCCAACCTGCCCAGATTCCTTGAAAATGCTGACTGACATCCATCTTTCCCTGTATTCTGGCAACTGGAAAGGTGGTAAAACTGAACACTGCATTTTAAGTCCTGAGACAGGAAGTAACCAGTAGGAATTCATTTTCCAGGGCATTCATTAAAATGTCCAATAACAGTTATCCTGTTTCGATCAACAAGATAAGATGACAGAAAGAACAGAGAAGGTGAAGGGCTGTACAACGAGGAAATTTTCTCCACAATTTTCACCTTTCCAGAAGCCAGGGAGATTAATAAAGCACCGATCAATTCTTCTAAGAAAGGGAAAATGAAGTAAAAACCTTAAACTGCCTCTTATAAGAAAAGGGGGTGTGTAAACAAGTGGAGAGAGAAAATCTTATTCAGTAAGTGGTGATGTTGAAATGATAATATTTAACTATTTGCAAGAAATGGTTAAGCAGAAATCAGAATAAAATGTCAGAGATAGAGCTAAATGTAATACACAGAGAGAGAAGTAGATACAGATATAAAGATACATATCTATAAATGAATTAAATAAAAATACATCTGAACATAAAAGAGGTGGAAATAATCTGGGGGAAAGAAAAAGGTTGAACAACGTATCATTGTGCAAAACATCAAGGCAGCATGGCTCCATGAAGCCTTTAATTAAATGGCTTAATCAAATTCCTTCTGGTCCCTGGAATGTCTGCATTCCAGGCTGAAGCTATCTCTCCAGCCTACAGAACCCCGACTGATGATCCATGCCCCTGTGAGATTCTCCCAGCATCCTCTCTACCAAGACTCCCTTCCCCCCTAATCAATACCCTTTCCTGAGGATGGCATGGTTTTCCTGTTCCCGACCACTTCACTGGTGCTCCTGTTCCCCAGCTTTCAAGCCTTTACAGAATCTTCTTTTTAATATCTCAAGCTTCTGACAGTACAAGAAAAGGAGATGGTAAAGAGAAGAGAGGGGGGCCGAGCCTCCAGGAGGAGAAGGCTGACAGTTCACTGCTAGACGGGACTTCACTGGCACACTCGGCGGTGCTGCGAGGCAGGGTTTAAGAGATGCCTGCTCCCATCGTCCTCTGACTGCAACTAGATGACATGCAATCAGTTTTTTCCAAAAACATATAAAATAAGAGCAACATATGCTTATATAAAACCATAAACTCATCTACCAATACAGAATAATTCCTGAAAAACTGGACTCTGAGGAACAGATTTAGTAACTCTTAAGAAGTCAAACGCCACCTTCTGAGGCCCTGTACAGCACCCAGATTCAGAAAACCTGCATGTGGGCCCTAATTCTGCCATGTACCACTGTGTAATTTTATCTTAGTCATTTAATTTCTAACTTTTACTTTCCCAACTTAGTCAATGGAGATAACAGTAATTTCTAGAATCATGAGAGTTTTTGAAAATTACTGATTCCTAAGTTGCCCCACCCCAGACCTAGGGAATCAGAATCTCAGAGATGGGGAAATTTGTAAGTCTTCTCTATTTCAAAATCTCCCTGGTGTGATCTGGACACATAGGACTCTGAGGACTGGTAGCTGGAAATGCTGCAGCACCTTGGTGGGTTAGCAACACCTCCAACCCTACCTTGCCTCTCTCACTGTTGCTCGAGTCCATAACTCCTTTCTCCCTGAGGAGTCATGCTGCCCATGTGACGTTTAGAACTTGAGGAACCATCAGACGGTGACCCGGGAGCTGGGCAAGCAGGGGCCTCCTCCATCCCGCTGCCGACGAGGAGGTGCGGCAGAAACAAAGACATGCCTCCATCGTGTGAAGGTGGTTCTCAGACATGTTTCTTGTGGGAGGTGGTAGTTAGGAAAATGCTTACTTACATACAGGCCAGTGGAGACCCTGGTCTGGCTTGGAAGCTAAGAGCTATGCTCACACTACTTCAATGGGAAAAATGCTTTGCAACCTCCAGAGGAACAATTCATTATTATATGTTTGGAGCTGCCAGCACACAGAAATAGGGATACAATCCAAAATGCTGAGGTCTGGTTTCTGGATTTCTTCCAAGTGATTTTTGTCTTCTTTTAGTGTAACCATGAAATTACACTTGACACCTTTTTAAGTACCGAGCTTTCTTTGATTCAATACCTACGTCAGCTTCTTTCAATGATTATTTTCCTATTATCAGAGGTTAAGGGACAGAATGCAATTCTTTAAAGAAGTGATTTTGAATGGACAAATCAATCCCCTTGGATTACCAGTGAGCTTTTAACCAACTGTTAAAAATATGTGCTAAGAGTCAAAGACTAACACAGGAACCGGCACTGATTGATAGGATAAAGTAAAACATCCCCCAATAATACCGACTTCTGATCATGTGCCAGTGTGCTAGTTATGGTTACACATAATATTTCAGCCTTTATTCTTCCTGGTCAAATTGTTAAATTGCTTTCTATTTCCTCTGCTAAAACCCTAGTTTGCACCTGAGCCGGCAAGTACCATAAGCACCATCAGGACAACATATGTTTATAAAGCACTTCTGTTTCCAAAGGGCTTTCACAAGCATTAGTTTATGTGTTGCTCACAACAGACCCGCAGCAGGCAGATCTGATATCAGCCCCATTTTATAACGGGCAGCTGAGTCGGCACTCGGCCAGCCATCAGGGAGTGGAGGTGGGCCACCTGTTGAAGGGTGTGAGGAACAAGGGGAAGCCAAGCGGACATAGTGAGTGGAGACCAGACCACACGGAGCCAAATTCTTCAGAGTGTGAACCAACTGAATAGCAACATTCATTGACTCCAGACAACTGGATCTGCTTCCAGAAAACAATCATGGGAAAGAGTCATCTAGAAACGAGGCTAAGGAACAGTGGCCGCCATGTGCCCCAGAAGCCTTCAGATCCTTAGGTTGCTAATGTCCTCTACCATCATGCCTGGAGGTGGCAACCTGAGGCTCAGAGTCTTTAGTACCACCCCCCCCATCCCCTCATTCCCTTTGGCTTATGAATTAATGAGAGGAAAAGCTCAGGGAGGCTATCCATCGCTGGTGTGTTCTTTCCATGAGTCAAAAAGTTGACCCACAAAAGACTAGCAGAATCCTAGAAACAGAGCTCATGAGATTCGCTCAATCAGCAAATTGTTGCTGAGCCCCTTCTATGTGCAACCATTCTTCTAGGCAACAGGATGCAGCAAGGAATCAAAGAAAAGACCAGCTCACATGGAGCTTCTATTCTCACCACGGCACCCACGTTTAGGCCTTTCTACTTGCTTGTAACTCTTCCTGGACCACTCTACCCCCAGAAATCTGCATGAGTCACTTACTCTCTAACCTCCTTCAGATTTTTACTCCATTAACACCCTTTCTGCAAGGTCCTCTTCCAACCACACTATGCAAACTCGCATCATCTTCCAGAACCATCCTTCCCTATTTTCCCTAACACTTATCACCATCTAACACATTATATGTTTCTCTTATTTTTTTCTTATTTTTCTCCTCCCACCAGAATCCATGCTTCAGAAACGCAGGGGTGATTGTCTGGTTTGCTCATGACAGTATCCCTAGTGCCTTTAGCTATAACTGGCACGTAGTAGGCATGAAATATATCCTGGTTCGTTCGCATGATCAAACAAGGCTTTTGACACATGCAGATATATGCAGGCCTCCTGTGTTCACCTGTATTCATTATCATAAGCCTCATGGATATTCCTACATAGGCCTAAGTTCCTTCTCTTGGTCATACAGTTTTAAAAGCCCTATATGTCCAAATTTGCAGGCATTTATCCTTACTTTACTTGGTTTGCTTTAGTTCTTTGTGCTTAAACGAAACATTTTTCTCTTCTTATGTGGTCTTCAAACATGAGCATTCTCTTCTTTTCATACTCAGACCATTTATTACATTCCCTGCAGAATCCCTAAGCACTTAAGACTATTTGTAGCTACACATATGTCAATTCACAATATCACAAAACAGCTCTACAAAAGATAAAAATGATGTCAAATGTCTAATTTTTATTCTTTTCAAATGCAATCTCTGACTTTAAAAGTAGGCATACATGTAAACAAAAGCAGTCTAACTGAATTAAAATTCCAAATCTAATAAAACCTTCCCCTCTCTTCCTCTAGTATATCTTTGGATGTCTCTAAATAGTTGGGTTTCTCAATGCAAACATCTGAGTTGCAGTGATTTTCAAGAGAAAGATATGAATGTACAAGGCCTCTGATACAGAAATAATTAAATGCTATGCTTCTTAATTCTCTAACTCCTCAAGAAACACTGGCTAACAAGGAGAAATGAATGGAAAATGCCAGAAGAGATGATCTTACGGCCTGTTCTCCCACCTACTATAATGTGACCCCAGGGCCAGTTTTTGCTTTCTTATCTGTACAAAGATAATATACCCTGACCTTCTCACCACATAGAACTTTTCCGGGAATAACATAAATTAGTAGTGGGATATGCTCTAAACTACACAGCAACAGTCAAATGAAAGGTAGAATGATTTTGCCTAAAGGCCAAGTCCTCTTAACGGCTCCTTGAGGCGCAGTAAAACCCACAGTACAGTTGACCCTTGAGCTGTGCAGGGGGTTAGGGGCGATGATCCCCCTTCCCCGAGTCAAAAATCCGCATGACTCTGACTCTCCCAAAACATAACGACTAATAGCCTACTCTTGGTTGGAAGCCTTACTGATAACATGAACAGTTGATCAGCACACATTTTGTATGTTATATGTATGTTACACTGTATTCTTATAATAAAAGAAGCTAGAGAAAAGATGATGTTAAGAAAATCATAAGGAAGAGAAAATACATTTTCAGTCCTGTAGTGTGTTTATGGGAAACAATCTGTGTAAGTGGACCAGTGCAATTCCAGCTCATGCTGTTCAAGGGTCAGCTGCAGTTCTTTCTGCTTCTCATCCCCTTATATCAAATACATCACAAAAAAGTAATTCTTTATAGATACATTTTGGGATATACCTTTGACTGTATTGTCCTCAGATTAACGAGATGAATGTCACAAGGCAAAGATGACAGTAACGGAGAGAATTCACCTAGCAGCTGAAGGGTGGGCACGGGGATCTTTTCTGTCATTGTAAAGACAGGATGATTCAGGAGAGAGGAAGTTATGTGGCTAACGAGAGAAGGATAACTGACTGACTTCTTTTCTTCTTCCTATCAAGAAAAAACAGAAATGCTTAAGTGTTATATATATATATGCAGTTTTCACAATATTAATGGAATTACCTGACAGGGTTTAAATAGAAAAGAAATATAAACAAAAACAAATATTTTAATTTTATATTTTGTTAATAACAGTCTTAGCCAACACAGAGATTACCAAGTCCATTTGTAAGCAATACAAGAAAATGAACAGTGTCCACCTAACTCATGTTTAGAAAGATCTTTTTTCCATTGCTTTAGTACTAAAAATCCTGATAACATTTTCCAAAAAACATTTTAGGACAAGGCATAACATTTTACGGAAACTCTTTCTCAACCTACCACAAAATTCTTAAATAGATGGGCTGGGATATTCACACATCTTGCACATCATCAAATGTGATCTCTTCTCCCTCAGGTTTTACCCACCATATACTCATGGTTTCATTTATACACTCAACTAGACCATAACATCTTGTGATCTGAAGCTATGCTCCATACATGTTACCCAATGACAGGATTTTTGGGGGAAAACCTCTCAAAATAAATAAGGTTTTTAAAATAACACAAGGAGTATACCTATATCATCTGTTAAATTTGGTAAATCACTACCACTGAACTGAAACTGTTAAATTATGTTATATAATAGTTAGTACATATTTACCTAGTACACAATTATTCAGTAGAATTTAAAAGTACTTTAGTCATTGCTATGGTATATACTTAAAGACAAGTGGTTCTGCATGTTCAAACATTAAACAAATCTGCCAGGGCTGGCTATAGGCATATGGTAGATGACACACTCAATTAACTAAATCAATGACTAAGTAGAATCTTAACCAATAATGCCTAAGGTATAAGAGCACACAGAGAAAAACACTGAGAAGAGAAAATAATTTATGTAGAAAGGTTTTTTGATCAACAGTGACATGTGGAACAAATTTAATTTTGTATCTTATTTTTAAACTGTCCATTTCACTGATATCCTCTGATTTTGCATCCTTTCTGCAATACAGGGCTCAAATAAAAGGCTTGGCTACTTATCTGGCCGAAAAGATAGGATTTATAGGAGATACGGGGCTTAAAATTCAGAATGTCAGATTAGCACTGAACAGAGGGTATTGAGCAAAGAGTGACAAGCATCTTGCCAGCAGCGAACTGTAGATGTCATTACAATTCAGACTATGGAGAAAGAAAAAAAATTAAAGGCAGTAGAGGGACAGTGCATACTGAGATACTGACACAAGGTCTAAATGACTTGTAAATAAAATATGCACCCATCCCACCCTCTTTTTTTAAAAGAAAGATTAAAAAAGCATATATAATAATATTCACCAACAATATTGAAATTTAATGCATGTTGTTGAATACTGAGGGAACAGTTTCAACTGGAAACTTTAAATGGACTCCAAGATCAAAGGACTTCATAATCTAGGTCAGGATTGCTGACAAAATCACTTTTCAATAATAAAAGATAAAAGATCCCAACAGAAAAGAAGACACCTGCCGTATCAGAATCAGAAGGCATTAAGTCCATTCTAGGTCGAGTAACATTCAGAGAAAGCTCTCTGGCTTTGTTCTATGCTCTTGGAGGAATCCCTGGACACTTCAGTGAATAGGTGGGATACTTCTTGATGGATTATGTATACCTTTCAAACAGTAATGTGCATATATACTCTTCCTCCCAACCACACCAGTTCCCTTGACTCTCAGTGCCCCCCTGCAACCTACCATACATAAAAATGGCTTGGGGAGCTTTAAACATAGATCCCCGAACCCTAACCCAAATCTACTTAATCAGAATTTCCAGGGGTGAGCCCTAGGAAGCCAAAGCTTAACAGCCCCCAGAGTGAATCTCAAATCTCGGTCAGTCTGGCACAGCTCTGTGGACACGTGCTGGGAACCATCACCCCAGACATCCTCCCAACCTTGTAGAAGAAACCGCTGCCTTTGCAATCAAATGTCTGAGTCTCATCCTTTAACTAGTTTTGGATTAAGAAAATGATTCAGACTCAGAAACATGTTAATGCTAAGTCTCGTCAAAGGAAACAATATCATGACTGTAAGTGCTTCGAGAATTCAAGAACTGTGCCATTTACTGTCCTAAGCAGGATAAGGGAGAGAAGTTTAGGGAAGATTTGTGGTTCAGAGCTATAAAAGCACCACGAACAAATAACGCTGCTGGAAGCTGGCCAGGCAGGGTGGGACAAAATCTCACAGAAGGTTCCATGATTCATGCACTTTCTTAACATGTTTATAGCAACGAGGGGCTCGACAAGATATTTAGCTGGTGAATTATCACCTTTTGATTAATCTCCTGGAAAGGTAATCTTTTAACTGTAACCTTTATGATAAACCCAAAGCTTATAACACATGTTTGCTATAGGAAATTTTAAGCTGTAAATGAATTCTCCAGCCTTGCAGTACTAATATACTACTCTAAACATTATTTGGTTCCTTGTGGGTTGGAAGGCTTCAAGCTGTTCAGATCTAGCTTTCTCCTTGCATTCTGTATGAAATTATAAAGAGTTTATAGCACATTCTGATCCAAACCACAAGAAGTTGAGATCTCCATTGGGTTCCAGCCCTTATTTTATAAATCAGAACTTCCTGCTAGGCTCCATGGTGTCCTTCATGAAGCCCATTTAAGTTATCTGATCCCTAAACATCAAAGGTTTCCATCCATCTACAGCAAAACTTGCTAAATAAATTATCTAAGACAATAAGAGATGATATTTTGAGTCATTTTGGCTTATTCAGTATGACCTGATACATGGTGAGAACTTGATAAATGTTTTTCTAAACTTAATCTATCAACAAGTAAATGTAATATAAATAAAGGAGAGAAAAATACAGTAGGAGAAAGGATGTGGTAAAAAGAGACAGAAGAAATAATTGATGAAAATTAATGAATCATAAGATTTAGAAATATATCTCATTTAGCGCAGAGGTGAAGCCTGGTGATCTGTGAGCTAAATCTGCCTACAGATAGGTTTTGATAGGTCTGCATGGTATTAAAAAGTTGTCTGTTTTTTGGCCAACTCTCAAAAAAGAAAAAAAATCCAGGAGATTTCACAGTGAAATTGTCAACAACAACAAAAAAACTCCCTAAAACAGGTAACTTTTTTTTTTTTTAAAACCCAAAACACTGGAAACCCAAGTCACCCTGGGCCCCCATATTCCTTCAAGTGCAGCTGAGTTGTAGCTCCTTGGTGGGATGTGTCCTCTCTCATCACAGACCTGGGGTCACCACACTTACGCGTTTGCCCTTAAACCTGACCAACCTCCCTCATGCCATCACTTTTCTGAGTCCTGTCAGGATTTGAGCTTTTCATCTGATCTCTCCTAGCTCCTTTTCCTGACATGTAAAGAACTGGTATCCACAGGTAAAATGACACAACTGTAATACCTGAACACTTCCCAGCACTTCTAATTCCTGGTTCAATGCCCTCTACCTATAGCAGTCTTCAGCAGGAAGGGATAGGGAGTAAGTGTCAAAGAAACAAAACCTAAAGGGTCAATGCCAAAGAGACAATTCCCACTTTCTGCTTCCGTTGGTCATTACACATGGATGATAGTCCACCTCACATAGCTACAGTAACCCACTGGGCATCTGCACATCTCACAGCAATTATCATTCCAGTCCTTGTTCTCACTGCCTCTCTGCAGAACACTCACGAACAGGATTCGGTTCCACTTAGTCACCCAGATAACTCCTCCCAGAGGCTCTGGCAGGCTGAAGACTTTCTACTAAAATGTCTTCCTGTACAGAGACTGTCTCCTCACCATGGTTCCTACCATCGACATCTTAAACATGAGAGTCTGAGTTGAAAATAAAAACACTTTCTGTAAAGTTTAAGTTATAGGAGATGGAACATTCCTTAATCAAATGCCTTTTTAATCAATTGCACTAGAAATTAAAATGTATTTTCTCTTCTCTAGTTCATTTTTTATTTAAAAGAAACTATTGATTTAAGTCCAAGAATCTATAGTTGAGCAAAAAGAAAAATTTAACCAACATAGGATTATACAAACACTGGATCAAATTTCAATCAATTACTATCCAAGGAGTTTTGAATGGGAATAAACAAATTATTTCACTTCTAAGTGAAAGCTTTATAGATCTGACATGAAAATGCTTATTGCCATAGTTAATAGAAGCTTTGCAAATTAGTGTCTATATAGAGAGAAAAAAAAAAAATCATAAAAGCCAGAGACATTTTCGGGAGGAGAAAAAGACAGTAGCTGCCAGCACTCAGACAATGATTTTCCTGTGCAGTTTTAGTCCTCAAATTAAGCTATCTTGTCAGTAATTGATTTAAACCATGAGTCCCAAGAACTGGTTTAAATCTTGACATCTAAAAATGGATATTAAAATCTTTTTTCCTAAAAGATTCTAGATACTGAAAGAATTCTTGGCTTTAATGAGCTGTTGCCATTTCATTCAATCAACCAGTGTTTTATTTATAGAATAGCTACCATAGGCAAGGAGCCCTGTGGGGTACATAAAAATGAAGCAGACAAGTCCCTGGAATGGAGCAGGGGAAGAGAACATGCCGAGTATGACAAGGCAGTAAGCAGGGGCTGGGATAAATGCGGTGGCACCATGCGCTATTACAGCTCACTCATTTATGCATTTGTGCATTCATTCATGCAACACATATCGGGTGCTTCCTCTACCAGGAACAATTCTAGAAGCAGAGGAACATGGCCCCCACTCTCATGAAGTTATGGTCCAAAAGAGGAGAGAGACAATGATCAAATATAATCGCATCTATGCACGGAGGACAGATGCGCAATTCTGAGGAGGCACTGAGGATGGTGATCTGGCCTGGTCAAGAAAAAGCAGTTGACCAAGGCAGCTTTGGCCTGAACTATTATGAAGAGTTCCCTGGGCACAGAATGAAACCACAAATGCAAAGGTGCTGTGGGCCCCAGGTGCGTAGGGAGCACTTGGGACTGAAAGAAAACTAGTGGGCCTAGAGCAGAAATAACACGAGTCATGCTGGATGAAGCTGGGGGACAGGCAGGGCCCAGATCATGAGGGGCTCTTCAGGCCATGGGAAGGATTTTGGCTTTTATTAGGAGAGCAATGAGAAGACACCTGAGGGTTAAGAAGGGAGCAGTGAGGTCAGATTGAATTTTGAAAAGATGAATCACTTTGCTTACTTGATTTCAGAACAAATACGGCAGGAAAAGAAGAGCAGAATGATTCAGGAAACACATGATGTTTGTTTAGATAATGGTGGTCAAAATAAGCGAGTTTATAGATTTGAAATATTTAGGCAATAAGATAGTCAACACTGGTGATCATTGTTTTAAGAAAGGGGCAGGCAAAGGAGAAGTATCAATGAGAGATGACTGCTATGTATGTGGCACTGGATGGAAGGTGGTACTAGTCCCCGAGAGAGCAAACACTAGAAAAGAGCAGGTCTGGGGGGAAGGGAAGAGAGATCATGAGAGTGATCATGGATATGTCGGGTCTGAATAGCAGGATGCAGCTAGGTAGATGGGTCTGCAGGTAAGAGGTGAAATATATGTGTGGGTTTCATCTGCGTAGAGGTGGTCACCAAAGCCACAGGAGTAGGAGAGATTGCAGAGGGAGAACATATAAAACGAGAAAAGGAGAAGGCGTGGGGCCAACCCTTGAGGACTCTGACATTTAATGGCTTAATAACCATCAGAGAGATAAAGAACCACTTGAGAGCTAGGAGGAAAACCAGATGAGCATGGCACCACGGAAGCCCTGGCTAGACTGTCTTCTAAGAAGTGACATGGTCAGTGTCGAATGCTGCTGCAAGGTGAAGTAAGATGGTGGATCTCGTGACACTGGCAAGGGTGTGTGTGTGGTGGGGGAAGCTAAAGCAAATCCGAAATGAGTTGAGTGTGACACGGAAGCAATGAAATAAACCCATCTTCCAAAGCGGCTCAACTGGGTGTGGAAGACAGGACGGGAGAGCAGGGCAAATGGACACGAGTCTGTGTGGAGGTTGTTTTTGGTATGTATGTATGTATGTATGTATGTATGTATTTATTAAAGATTTTATTTATTTTTTAGAGAGCGAGCGAGCGAGAAACAGCATGAGAGGGGAGAGGGTCAGAGGGAGAAGTAGGCTCCCCGCTGAGCCGGGAGCCTGATGTGGGACTCGATCCCAGGACCCTGGGATCATGACTCGAGCCGAAGGCAGACGCTTAACCATCTGAGCCACCCAGGCGCCCTTGGTTTTTATTTTTAATAGGAGAAAATGAAGAGTGTCTAAAAGCCTGCAGAAAGGGTTTCTTTCCTAGGGAAATGTCAGCTATGAAGGGCAGAGAGAGGGTAGGAGGATGATGATGCTGAGGAGGGCGCTGGGGTACGTTGCAAGGACAAGTGGAGGTACTGGCCTGGGAGGAAAGGAAGGTAAAAATGTCTCTATTGCAACATGAGGGAAGAAGGAAAGGGTGGGAGGAGATGGTTGATACCTAGAACAGAGAGCCCTGTCAGATGTGAAGTCGATGGTGAGGCCACCAGCTAAAAAGAGTAGAAAAGATCTGAAATGGATCAGTGAAGAAAGAAGGAGAGCAGAGTGAGAAAAAAAGGGCTGTGTACAGATCATCTGAGGTGGGAAATCAGTAAAGCACGGAGGACTGTGATGATGACTTTTGTGTAGCCTTGAAGAGGTGTATTGTCATGTTGGTTTACATCCAACTGAGCTTTAGCCAGATTTTTTTAATGGAATGCTGAGGTTTTGTCTTGAGAAATGAAAACTGAGCAAGAAGATAGACAAGTAAATCCATTTTCAATTGAGGAGTCTAAGACTAGAATAAGCACACTAAGGTTTCCCATAAATTTTACTAATCAAACTTAATCTAAGTATGTGATTAAGTTCTATTCTTAAATTCAACTCTTATTTTCTTTCAAAATAATCTCAGAAAATCTCTCCCAAACTGATTCTTTAACATTTTACATCTACATAATAAGGAAAAATAAAAAATAAGATGACCTAAATGCAAATCTGACATATGTGTAACTGAAGTTCTCTTTTTTGTCAATATAGGCTACACCTATTATAAAGATATCTCAATCCTGGGAACTGAAAATCATAAAAAAAGGGGACAGTCATAATTTCAAATTTTGGGTGGCAAAGAAGAAACAACATCAGAACGTATGAGTTATTATTTTTTTCCTACCGTATTCACACTTCTTTTTTCCAGTAGTAGTCGAAATAAATTAGCTGTAACCTTGTTATCATGGACACCTTGCTCAAGGCCGCGATTATCATCTTGCATGAGTCTTCGATCCATGATAACTTCAATCTGACCTAACAAACAAACAAACAAACTGGCCAGAGTTATTTAATACAAACATCCAGTGACAATCACATAAGTTTAGGCACGGTCCTGATTTAAGCCAAGGAGACAGATCCATATAGCCCAAAGTACCAAGGGCTTTCTCAAAACAGCTAGGATAAATGCAAAAAACAGGACTTTATTTCCGTTCTTCTTCATAAATGTCTGGTAAAATTTGGTAAGCAATTTAAAAATGAGACAGATCAAAACTTAAGTGAAATTTAAAAAGAATTAATCTGAAGAGTAAATTATGTCCTCTAAAATTTTTAGTGGTAGCACCTGGAATTTAAAAACATTTATGAGGTTCATTAGGAAACATACATCACACCTGGAGTAACAAGGCAAATACAGATGTGTAGAATCTAAAAAGGATTTGAAAGACTAAGCGTTTTGGTTACTTGGTATCTGGTGATTCTCTGAAGAAACCCCAGGATTTGGAGACACCCAGCACGTACCCCCTTCCCTCCCTGGTATTAAGTTAGTGGCATCAACTATCCTCTCTCCTCTAGTTCAAGAAGAGGTCATATTTGGTTCCTTCATTGGCTGTGCAGTAATTCCACACCTCCTCTAGGTTAAGTTGTAAGCTAAGAATTAGGCTATGAGACTACAAACCAAAAAACCCTATCCAAAACAAAGCAAAAAACCACCCAGAGCCACAGTCATATATTTACACTAAAAAAAACCCTAGTCATACATAAAAATATATGCATATTCATCCACCCACTCATTCACATTTGTTACAGTACTAAATGATCTTTTGGCATAAAAGAGCAATACATAAAATATTTTAATAACTATTATTTTTACACAGTCAATCCAACTCTGTTTAGTTCTTTCTTCTCAATTTAGGTACCCAGTACATAAAACTGCCAGTGATGGTCAGAATTTTCGTTGTTACTACCTCCATATTTATTTTAGAACACAACTGTCTAGAATGTGCTCCTCAGGCACTGGGACGAATTGGCCATCTAGAGCTTGATCATGTCACACCCAAATGAGTACATCAATCTCTTGGCAGTTTCTCTCTTCTCCCTGCCTCCAAATGTTAGCCCTCATAATATGTGACACTCAGTAAATCTCCTGGGCTGTACTCAAATTGTTCTTCTGTTTGTAGGTACTGAAATGCTAGGGTGCTTGGCTGTCTGTAGCAGGGGCACCTGGGCCAGGTGTGACTCTTGAGCCCCCCACCTTTAAACGTTGCCTTAAATTCTCAAAGCTGGGTCCTTAAATAGGGAACTAGATATTAGGACTGGAGCAATCATGGAGTAGACAGTTATGTCACTTCCCTTGACAAAGGCAAGCTGAGAAATAAAGCTCCTCTGTCCCTAAACCACATTTAGGAATTTTATGTGAAGTTGTCCAATCTATAAATAGTTGACTTAATTTTTTAAAAATCAAAACATATGGAGTGCCTGGGTGGCTCAGTCATTAAGCGGCTGCCTTCAGCTCAGGTCATGGTCCCGGGGTCCCGGGATCGAGCCCCATATTGTGCTCCCTGCTCCCTGGGAAGCCTGCTTCTCCCTCTCCCACTCCCCCTGCTTATGTTCCCTCTCTCGCTGTCTCTCTCTTTCTCTGTCAACTAAATGAATAAAATCTCCAAAAAAAATAAAAATAAAAACATAAAAAATTCCAGACTCCTGGGCTCTTCAGAAGCAGAAAAATTTGGCAACCCTGGGCCCCTTTCCCCATGGTGACAACAACCTGGCGCTGAGCAGCGGCTGCCCCACCGTTCACTGGGAATGGTGTGCCCCAGTTTGCCGAAGCCCCACCACTCCCCGCTGCATGCCTGATGTGAGGCCATTATTATTTTTCTAACAGCGTTAATGTCTTTACGGCATCATCTCATGAGTCTGTGTAATGAAAGCCACAAACGAAGATGAGTAGTATGCTTTTTTGTGTGGGTGGACATATGGAATGTATGTATATGCCCAATTAAAAAAGTGGGTTTGGGGCAAAGGGTACGTCAGGTACCTGCACACCTTTATTATCTGCCTGGCTCCTTAAGACATTTGTCTTAGCAACTCTTAATATGTAAGAAAGAAGAGCAATTTGACTACATATAAATGATAATGAAAAAATATGTATTATAAAGGACATACGCCTCTCCATAGAAGGTTTTATAAAAATTAATCTGTGTTTACGATTTATTTTCTCTTTCCATCTTGTTCTATCTTTTGGAATCCTTAAAGTTGTGTCTGTCACCTCTTTATCTGCCTAGCTGTATCATTGCAACTCCCTTTCTTCTTTCGGGTAGAGGTGCCCTAGAACGATACGATTCAGAGAAGGACCTAGGTTTGAACTGTTACGTCCCGCCTTTGCGAACTTAGGCAACTCTGGGAATTTCTAACTTTTACCCCAGCTCCCTCTCCTCTTTGGCTTCTGGGAGAGTTTCCACAGCCATTCCATTATGACAACGACAGAGGCTTGTGCAAACAATGAGCTATCAGGAGAGAAAAATTATCTTTAAGAAGCCATGGTTTCATGGAGCTTTAGGTCCCTCATTCTTCATCAGAAGATTGAAGAAATACATTATTTTATGTTATTCTCACAAAACCAAAATTAACTAATAGCTGGTGTCTGAAGATGATAATTAATAATATGACCAACAGAAAAATTATACATTCAGAACTGAAACTTGTAAGAGCAAAAAAGAATCCAAACAACACGCACCACTTTTCAAACTTGAAACCCCTAAAGACTGAGCTGAGAGTAATGTCAAGCGATGCTTGGTGTCCTGTATATAGGCCATTGTGGTCATCGGATAGACATTTGCTTGAAGAGGCAATTTGCTCATCGTCATTCTGGGCTGAATCTATAAGACCAAACAGTTCACTTTAAAAAAAAGAAATCAAGGGATATTTACAGATGTACTTTAAAAAATTAGTACTGACTACAGATGATGTTTCTTCCAAAAAGAAAAAGGTATAGCTTCCTTTCTTGTTCAAAGGAAGAGCTAATTTAGGAATTAAAACATTCTTTCAAACAATATGAAAAAAAAATGAGGATCTTAGAAAACTTTTAGGTGAGAAAGGTAGAACTTATCCAGGTTCTTAAAATAGGCATTCCTATTTAAATTCAGAATAAAAATCCTTAACAGAAGTCTTCTAGCTTTCCAATATTTGCATAAAACAAATTATAAAGGTATCAAGTATTCATTTCTCATCTAAATCTAACATACTGCTTTTGTAATGAATGCTAAGCATAATAGCTCTCTATCCCCTTTCAAAAAATCTCTCTTATAATTCTTGAATCAGTTTTAATAAATACCACAGATCCCCTTATCAAATCCTCTAACATATTACATTAAAATAATCAAATTAATATTTATATTTAAAAACTCTTCAGTGCTTAGTCTTCCTGTTTAGTGTCAATGTAGGTAGTTCCATATTTTAGCTTTTCTTGGTCTGGTATGTGAATGCATGAAATACATTATTTTATTTTTTGACCGAAAATTCACTAAGCTGGTTGGGGCTGAGGAGAGTCCCTCAAACCTCAGGAGGAAACATCAAACAGAGACTTTGTTATGAGGTATCTTATTCACACCACATAAAAATGACATCTCTCCTGTTCAGCTCATGCAAGTCTGACATGACACTCAAGAAGAAAAGGAGTACAAAGTTAATGTAATAGTATTGAGTGCCCATTATAACGAGACAAAGTACGGGCATTCACAAATATGATCTTTAATCTTTACAACAACCCTGTAGTGCATCCTTTAACTTACTGGTTGTACTGAATAGTGTCCCCCAAATTCATGGTCATCCATAACCTGTGAATGTGATTTTGTTCTGAAATAGGATCTCTACAGACATAAGGTATAGTGGATTAGGGTGGGCTCTAATCCAAGGGCTGGTGTCCTTCTAAGCGGGAAACCTGGACACGAAAGGACACACAGGGCAACACAAGGAGAATATGACAGGGACTCTGGGACAGCAGAGGCAGACAGTGGAGTGATGGGTCTACAAGCCCATCAGAAGCCCCAACAGGCAAGGAAGAGTATTTCTCTAGAGCCTCTGGAGGGAGTGTGGCCCTGAAGACATCTTGATTTGGGACTTCTGGTGTCCAGAACTATGACAGAATAAATTCTTGTTGTTCTAAGCCACCCATTTTGTGGTAATTTGTATCACAGGCCCAGGAAATTATGAACCTGAAGAAACAACTGCAAAATGTTAAAAAAAAAAAAAAAAAGAAAGAAAGAAAAAAGAAGAGAGAGTTTCAAAGAATTTTCCATTTCTCCTTTCCAATCTGGATCTTCCCAATCAAATTAACTTGTATACTCACTGAAAAGGACATTCACACTGTCATGACTATAGGGCTGCCACCCTCACTCCCTACCTGTTGGTCTAGATTTCTAGTTTTGCTCAAGGACTACTCTTTCCAAGGCTTAAAAAATGGCCTATTTTAGAAGCAGAAATATTTAGGTCATAAATTTAGAAATTTAGAAGTTTAGAAATAATATTTTCCCATTTATTCAAATGCTCGATCCTTGAAAAGAAAATTCACATGTTTATTCACTTTTACTAAGTTTTTTTCATTCATGTATACACCCACACATACAAATAATTGCTTTTGTAAGATTTTAAGAAAAGAGTTTCTTTTGTACACAAGGAAAATGAATCACCATAAAGTCAGGGCTTCATTTGAAAACCAAACAGCTGTGGTAGAATTAACATGTAAATTCGAAGTGTATAATGCAATTTTTATGCTTTGGAAAAGGTTTAAATTTAACCTTTGCAGGAAATTGTAGAAGAGAAAATTATCACAACCCCTTCCACTCATCCCAGTTGAAAATCAGACAAAGTAAAAGCATTTGTTGTGAAATTATTTCTATTCATAGCCAGAAATTTCTAAAATGCTAATGTCTCAAAAACATGCTAATGTTTTTAGTGGTAGTATTTCAAAGCTATGTTGTCACACACATATACTCTGAATATAGAAATTTATGTAACAATCAAAAGAGCCCTATTAAATTAGAGAGCTAACAATCTGAAAAAAAAATTGAGTCAATTTTCTCATTACTATTTCAAACTATTTTGTGAACATTTTGATTAAATACATACCTGCCCACATTTCTATATATGTGCTTGTATTTCTTTGTCTATGTATATGTACACAAGTGTGTGCATAAAGGTGAATACACATACATTATTGATAAAAAGAGGGAAAGAGCTTTCCTGAAATTTAAAAGAGCCCATTATTACATTATACATTTAAAAGTATATATGTAATAAATTAAATACACACATACCATTTCTTTATGAGGGGAAAAATACATACTCCACCAATCAATCCCTAATTATGTTTCCTTTCTATTAAACAAATTCAGATATATTTTGGTGTCAAGGCATTTAACATGCAAATGGTCACCAAATCTGCCTTTGAAAAAACTACCTCCGTAAATCAGATGCTCTACAAACCAATCTCTCAAATATCTGTTCTAGCTTTGGACATCTGGTTGAATATAGAACCTATAAGTACCTGTTAAAATTCAGTTTTCCTTTAGAAATAATTTGTAAACTTAAGCATATTTTTCAAAGGATCCAAAATTAACTGGCCCACTACCATATATAAAAGTTACACACTAACACAGCTATTACTTAGACATTTTAAGGGAAAATTACCTGATATCCATTCAGGTCAGTATAAAATTTGTTTTGACTGTTTATGCTAGAAGAAATTCTCATTGCAATCTCACGGTTATGTTCTTTTCGGATGTCCACGATATTGGACACTTCCACAGACTGTCCGTCTATTCCTAAATTTAAAAGAATATATATGTTAATAGAAATTGATTGCTCCACTTTTCTTATACTGTACAGAACTTCCAGAGTGACATACATTTTCCCGTTTTCTATTCCTATCTTCACCATTTTTCATGCTAACTGTGCCACCGTTCACCTTTTTCTTTCTTTTCTTTCTTTCTTTTTTTTTTTTTTACACTGTCAGACAGTAGAAAACATTTACTCCGGAGAACATGTAACTCAACAGAAGGATGAAGAGCTTGGGATGAGATAAACGCAGATGAAATATAACATGCAAATGATTCTCCAATGAGTTCTGGAGGGAAAAGAGAACTTTAAATGAGAAAAGGTTAGCCCCACTCCAGGCCAGGCCGCCTGTCACGTGTACGGCCATTCTCCAACAGAGCCATGTGAGCCTACTTCTTCACGGCTCGCCTTCCGTGCTGGAAATCTGAAGCAGTGAGATCTACACTCTGTTGGTTTGAGAGACAGTCTATTACTGCCCATGATCTATAATCTAGGAAAAGAGACACGAGATCCAATGAGATGCTTTATGGCTAAAATGGATATTATCATATTAGTATTTGTGGAGTATAATCTGGACAGCTCCCCAGAAGTTAAATCAATTTTTTTTTAAGATTTTATTTATTTATTTGACAGAGAGAGACAGCGAGAGAGGGAACACAAGCAGGGGGAGTGGGAGAGGGAGAAGCAGGCTTCCCGCTGAGCAGGGAGTCCGATGCGGGGCTCGATCCCAGGACCCTGGGATCATGACCTGAGTGGAAGGCAGCCGCTTAACTGACTGAGCCACCCAGGTGCCCCAAGTTAAATCAATTTTAATTGAGTTTGGTATCTCTTAGGACCCCTTGTTATGGAGTGATTCATTTTGTCCTTTGCTATATAAAGCAGAGGACAGCTTGAAGAAGTCCCAGATGTATCAAACATTTATTTTTTTGGATAAGCCTAAACTTTTCACTAATTTCTATCTGTCATGCCACCCTAACTATATCTTCTGGTCCTGAGTGAAGCCTTGGGTCTATTTCCGAGACGGAGAGGGGAGTTATGGAGAAATCCAACACTCCTAATACAGACTGAGTATGTAGAAGAGATACTGGATCTTCTACAAAAGAGCAATCAGGAAAGCAAGCAATCAAAAGAAGAAAGACTGGCCCTATCCTATTTCATACGGCAGAAGGTTTTTAAGGTTCTAAGAGCCCTGGACACGTACCTGCAGTTGTCAGTCGTTACCCACCAGGCCTCACACACACTCTGTCACAGCGTGCTGATCACCAGGACACTCTTTAGACAAAGAAGGCTATGTAAAGAGAAATGGGGAGTGGGAGAAGGGAGTAAGGAGGACTTTTTCTGGAAGCCAAGAAGAATCCCCAGGGCTTAGAGAAGATGAAAGCAAACAGTTAAAGGAAGGAAGTTTGAATCGGTGGGACTGGTGGAAAATAATGAAAATGCAGCTAGCTGAGGCACTATAGGTTTATGTGAGAAGTACACCGGAAATTGTAAGACATCAATAGTAATATGCTGACAATACTAAATGGGCAGAAGCCTCCATCAACAGATTTTTCAGAATTCTCACAGAAGTTCTTTTCTGGGAGATGTTACTCCTCCAACTCGACAACCTCAGTCAGAGATGACTTCAGTTTCTTACTATGTTCATAAAGCTGTGATGAGCAGTATGACCTCATGTGTGGGGGAAGAAGGTCCTTTTCTTTTCCCTCCCACTTTATGGCCAGTCTGAACCACTAACCAGTAAAATATACATATAACTTTCCTTCTGACAATTACCAGATAACTGACCCAAATAGCTTCACTACTACTGGGAAGTTAAAAGAAAACAAAAATCACATCCACTGATGCCAGAACAACGGTGTTTTCTTTGACTAGGAAATGTATTACTTTCGATGCAAACTTTCCTTTCAGTAGGTTTATGTCAACCCCAATATCTTTCAAAGCCAATGAAATGTATATGGATTTCTAACAGACAAGCTTCCACAAATGAACCAAAGATGCCAAAAAACACAAAATACAGCATAGGGATGAAGTCCCCCATGAAGCATTCAGGCGAACACCTCATCTACTGGAGGCACTCGTGGCTGTTTGGCACCACGTCCGTTTTCTCCTCTCTAGACTGGATATTCTCCCAGGGGGTCAATAGAGTACATGAAATGAAATAAAGTCTTTACAAAGGAGAGTGTCATTAATTTCAAGTCACGTATCTCTGGAAAATATTTACAAAAAACATGCTTCAAGAAAAAATAAATAATTTCACATTACCTCTGGCAATAATAAATTATTTCTGTTGAGAAAATGATCTTTCTTGAGCTCAGTATTATGCTCAGATCCGGTTGTGGCAACAAATGCTTAAGTCTCCTTTAAAAGGAGCTTCGATGTCCATTCACAGTTCAGCAAGACATCTGTGCCAGGACAGGCTTTTAAAGTAAGATCAAACCTAATACACTTATTATGAACAAACCAAATAAATCTTGTAATGGTAATCAAAGCAAGGAGGTATCCCTGAGTCATCAAAGGTAATTTATTACTTTTTAAAGAAGAATCTATGTGAGGGGGATAAAGGACTGCTACCTTTTCCTACTGTAGGTCAAGAATTCCCTAAAGTGTGCCATTCCCAAAGAAGCTCATAGGATTGAGGGGAGAACTCCCTGGGAAGCATGGGTATGAACCGATCGGTCTCAGTGACCTGCAGAATCTTTGCAGCAAAAGGTTCTTTTACCAAATTGGTTCCACCTGGGCATGGATGGCCAGGAATTTCTAAGCCCCTCTGGTTTTTCTTCAGTCCTGGGAAAGAAAACAGCTCCTACCTAACAAGCGTAGTCCAAAGAGTTATGTCATTGATAAAGACAGAGAATTAAGAACTCCCTTGCTGCTAACACCTCACCCTCTGTCCCCAGAAAGAGAGAATGGAGATTATTTATCTTTATTAACAGAGGCAATGCAAGGTAAAAACAGAGCAAGTCCACAGGTGGAAAGCCATCATAGAGAAGCGGAAAGAGTCTTGCAGAACTCTGAAGTTTTGTTTTGTTTTTTTTTTTTCTCCTCCCTGGAGCCTGTTAGCTCCTTACAGATTGTCTTACACACCATCTCTGCATTCCAGTTTTTAACAATAATTTGGGGATGTAGTAGGTGCTGAATCACCATTAAAGAGAATGAGTTAAGATGTGAGAGGCTGTCCTTCATGATGCAGAAGTCAGCTGACATGGGAGGAAAGCAAACTAGGCCATGGACAGAGTTTAAATAGAAAGAAGGGAATAAGTACTTAGATTTTGAGCAAACACATGCATGTTAGAATGTAAGCTCCTCAAGCACTGGGACCATGTCTTATTTATCTTTATGCTCCCAGCACATAATAGGCAGATAATGTTTGCTGAGTAACGGGCAGCAGCTACATGGAAGAATCAGCCAACAATTACTGAGTCCTCGCTATGTACCATATGCCCCGCCATATGCTTTACATACAGTAACTCATTCAATCCTGACCCTAAGCCTAGGAGAACATACCTTGCCCCAGATCACAAGGCTGACAGAACCAGCACTAAACCTCTCGGCCATCACGTCTCACTGGCAAATTGACCACTAGAGAATGTTAAAGTTACTTTGGGACCATGGATTGGAGAAGCTTTGCAGTGACTCTAAGTAGAAAGGAGACCTCCAGGTTATTTTTTAAGAAAGGGAGAGGGTACTGATCTGGGATGATATGCTGCAAGTGCTACCTAAAGGAGACAAATACATTATCAGTAAAATAAAATAAAAATAATAAAAAATAATTATGGGACAGGCTTGCCAGAATACAAAACTTCTTCAAAACAATCCGAAATCTTTTCTTTAAAAATGCCACGGTCACTTTAGAAGCCAATAAAGTAATATATACTAAATAAGACACTGTGATCTCACGTATTTACCTAAGATGAACACTAATCACAAGCACAAGCATGTTCACTGTGCACTGGTGCCAAGGGTAGAAACATGGGGAAACAGGCTAGATGCCCACCAACAGACAAATGAATAATAAAACCAGTACATCCACGTTTTGGACTGCTCTGTAGCAAATGAATGAGGTAGCTCTCTGCCCCGGCAAAGAAAGATATCTGATGCAAGAGGTGAATGGAACATTTGCACAGTGTGATGAACTTTTTGCTAAAACCAAACACAATACTATACCTTTCTGCAGATATGCATGCAAGAGAGGTGTGTGTGAGAGAGAGAGAGGAGATAGAGAGAGAGAATGCAAGTGATCCGAGGGTGCACACAGGTATCTGATTACCTCTCTTGAGTAGTGGATAGGGACCACGCACAGATTCTAGAGGGATTTTACATTATATACATATACTATAATGTGTGACACTTTTGTCAAAAGAGTATACGTATATATTATTTGTATACATAAAAATTATTATCTTTTTTATTCTATTTTTTTAGATTTTATTTATTTGACAGAGAAAGACACAGCAAGAGAAGGAACACAAGCAGGCAGAGTGGGAGAGGGAGAAGCAGGCTTCCCGCTGAGCAGGGAGCACGATACGGGGCTCGATCCCAGGACCCCGGGACCATGACCTGAGCCGAAGGCAGACGCTTAACAACTGAGCCACCCAGGTGCCCCCGAACTTACCCAACTTAACCAGGAGTTGACGCTTAGGGTTATTAACTAATACACACTGCTTCACTCAACACATAAACGACAATTCTCGCAACAATGATAAATTTAGTAGGACAATATGGAGATGATGTTTCTAAAAAAGCAAATATTATCATTTTTAAAAACTGTACTCATATCTGAAAGTACCAAGAATAAAAATGGTAATAACTCCCATAACTAGATGACCTTTTTGTCCATGTTGACTTATTCAACTTGCCTATCCATTGTAAGATCTAATTTATCCTCTGAGGTACTTGCTGATTTCCAGGTCTGTAAATGTTCATATTGACTATTTCTCCACAAGTGAAAATTTTAACATCTGCTTTCATGAATATAAATTTGAGTAAA